CTGATTCAAGGGGAATTGTTGATTCGATTGTGTCATCGTGAGGTTATGTGTTTAATTTAATTTCTTGCTTTTAATTCAAGTATTCGTTGATTCTTATCCATATTCTTATGGAAATTAATGTTGATTAGTCTGCAAATTAATTAATGTTGATCTTCTTACTACTATCCATAATTCGATGATCTGTAATTGTCACGAATAGTGGTACAAGTAGCAATTAGGTTAATATCTTTTTGGGTCAATTGTTCGTGACAACCTTTGACCAATGTATAGGCATGTTTTAACCTAAAGGGAATCAATGGAACAAGATTTGATAAATGCACCTATCTCAATTATTTTTATTTTGGTTTAACTGTTTTCACGGAAGTTATTGCTATCATTAATTGATATGGAACGCTATCGTGCCCAGTCGATCAATGATAAGTGTTGATCGAATGCTGGGTTTGGTCAACTAAATTAGGAAAATGCGAGGTTTTTTATGACTATCCTAATAAATTTGAAGGTTAAATGCTTGAATTGCAAGACTGCTGATTTTTCCTATGATCGATGACCAATTGACTCAATTCGAACCCTTGGATCAGAGTTGGTAAGATTGAATATTCCTTGTTAATTGTTATTTGCTCTTCAGTTATTTTAGAAATTTAATTATTTGAATTTCCACTATTTATATTGCACATTCGGCTGTCAAATGTGGTTATGGTAAAGAAAGCTAATGAGAAATGGCGGATTTGTATTGATTTCACAGACCTCAACTGAGCCTACCTCAAGGACAATTTTCCTTTTCCAAGGATAGACCACCTCGTTGATGCCACTGCAAGGTATGAACTACTCAGATTCATTGGTGACTTCTCCAGATACAACCAGATAAAGATGCACCCGAATGATGAAGAGAAGACCTCATTCATCATTGAGCATGGCACATATTGCTACCGAGTGATGCCTTTCGACCTCAAAAATGCCAGGGCCACCTACCAATGCCTTGTTAATAAAGTGTTCAAAGATCAGATGGGGAGGAACGTCAAAGCCTATGTGGATGACATGGTAGTAAAAAGGCTGAAGGCCAAGGCCCATATCTCGGACCTAGCCGAGACCTTTGACGCTTTGCGGAA